ATGATATTTTCTATAGGTTCACGGTAGATACTATTTATTAGGGCCACATGCTTTCATAAAGGAGGGTGTTGGTTGGTTTAAACTTGAATATATATAGACTTTTATCAAAGGCCTTTTCTACATCCAGTAATATAATCAATAAATCTGTAGATATTTGTTGAATGAATTCTGCTTTTGCCTTCAAAGTAACCCAATGAGCTAGGTATTGCTTTTCTCATGTGTAAAATAGGCAGATGAGGCCCAGAGACACTGCGCAGCTTTCTCAGCTGCACCTGGTTGGGGATGTCAGTTTCAGACTGAAAAGCAGATCTGTCAGGCCGGAGTCTGTGGCCATGCCGTCTCTCTGCTCTCTTCCCCTCTCTTTCTCTCTCTCTCATTCTTTCTCTCCTCTAAGAAGGATATCATAAACTTTCTTACTTTTATCACTTAATCTCTGTGTAAAAAATCTTTCTCCACCTGCACCATGAGCACCCACTAGGTTTTTCCACCCTAACAGTCTGGGATCTTTCTAAGCCCCCATGACGTCAAACAAAACCTGAACCTTGGTGGAGCACCAAGTGTGTGTAGGCTGGAACAGGAAAATCACATGAAATCAAATCAGAAAGTAAATGAAGAGCCCAAAGACTCTGCATAGGGTGCAACGGTCATCTCTGATCCTGCATCTCCTGTGCCTGACATGGTGGATTCCAGAACTGGTGGCTGAGACATCTGGAAGTTGCCACCGTCACACGGTGATCAAACTCAGTGACAGTGGTACGACCTGACATCACGGGCCTCCTCGGATCGGACTCTGTGAAGTCCACAGCCTTGCTATGATTTTAACAGGGTTGCCAGGTAGAATGCAGGATGCCCAGTTAAATTTGAATTTCAGAAAAATAACAAACACCTTTTTAGTATAAGTGAGTTATATAACTATCACATGGGGCTTTTTTTGTTTTTTTTTTTTTTTGAGACAGAGTCTCGCTTTGTTGCCCAGGCTAGAGTGAGTGCCATGGCGTCAGCCTAGCTCACAGCAACCTCAAACTCCTGGGCTCAAGCGATCCTCCTGCCTCAGCCTCCCGAGTAGCTGGGACTACAGGCATGTGCCACCATGTCTGGCTAGTTTTTTCTATGTATATTAGTTGGCCAATTAATTTCTTTCTATTTATGGTAGAGATGGGGTCTTGCTCTTGCTCAGGCTGGTTTCCAACTCCTGACCTTAAGCAAACCGCCCACCTCAGCCTCCCACAATGCTAGGATTACAGGCGTGAGCCACCGCGCCCGGGCACATGGGGCTTTTTTATACTAAAAAAATATGCATTGTTTATCTAAAATTCAATTGTAGGGCATACTGTATTTTTATTGGCTGGATCTGGCAACCCTGTGTATGAAGAATTCTTGACAAAAATGTTTAACCTGAACCTAATTGAACCTTTAAACCTAACTTCCAGCTTACAGGAAATATAAGGAGCAACTTAGAGACGTCAAAAGGGAACCATGAGATGGGCTGTAAGGTTGGCACATTCCAAAGATGTTGCTGGCCAGGTCTAGGGTGTGTTGGGGCTGTTCTAGATTACAGAAACTAAAGAAACATACCCAGCAAATGCAATATGTGAATTATTTTTTTTTTCAGAGATGGGGGTCTTGCAATGACGCCCAGGCTAGTCTCAAACTCCTGGGCTCAACTGATCCTTCCGCCTCAGCCTCCCAAAGTGCTGGGAGGACAGGTGTGAGCTACTGCCTGGCCTGCAATGTGTGAATTCTTACTGATGCTGGATGGAGCTGAGGGACAGCTGTAAGATACAGTCCTGCTTTACTTTCCAGAGCACCGACAGAGCATTAGAACAAATTTCTAAAGAAAGCTGCCTAGGCTTGGGGATAAGGGATGGTGTGAAAATACATCTATTTTGCAAAATAACTGCTAATAAAATACTTGAGAATTTGCAAAATTACATCAAATCAGAAAGTAAATGATGCAGACATAGAAGCATCTGTGTTTTCTTTTTCCTTTTTGAGATGGGGGTCTCACTATGTTGCCCAGGCTGGTCTGAAGCTCCTGGACTCAAGTGATTCTCTTGCTTTAGCCTCCAGAGTAGCTGTGAGGCACCACCACCTCAGCCCAGATTTTTATTTTCTATCTTGTTGTGCTTTTGCACACTGCTTTATTTGGACTTTGAGCATGTCTTATTTAATAATTGAAAATCAACTATTGGCCAAGTGTGGTGGCTCGCGCCTGTAATCCTAGCACTCTGGGAGGTCGAGGCAGGAGGATAGCTGGAGGTCAGGAGTTCAAGACCAGCCTGAGCAAGAGTGATACCCTGTCTCTGCTAAAAATATAAAGAAATTAGCCAGAAACTAAAAATATATAGAAAAAATTAGCCGGGCATGGTGGCGCATGCCTGTAGTCCCAGCTACTCGGGAGGCTGAGGCAGGAGGATTGCTTGAGCTCAGGAGTTTGAGGCTGCTGTGAGCTAGGCTGACACCACGGCACTCTAGCCCAGGCAACAGAGTGAGACTCTGTGTCAAAAAAAAGGAAAAAAACCCAATTATTTTATTAATATTAAATATAAGACTGAACATACAAGCAAGTGCATAGAAGCCCCCGAGCAACTGCCTTAGTACAATTCTCAGCTGTCCCCAGTCCCATCTGCCCCCGCCTCCCCTCCCTCTGTAGCCAGAGCCCTGGGCTCAGGGCAAGCTTCACCCCGCACTGGGTGCTCATTTGTACCTCTATCCTTGGGGGTCTCCCCACTAGATTCTGGCTTGTTGGGTACAGAGGCCGCCCTCTTCCTCTTCCTCATTTCAGTGAGGACCTACTATGTGCCAGGCCCTGTGCAGAAGGGACCTGAGCCCGTCAGCCTCCAGAGACTCTGGATCGATGGCTGCACAAATCCAGTTCCCAGTTCCAGTAACTGGGTTAATTTCCAGAACCTGGGCAGAGGATGGCCCCGTGGGGAGCTGGCCAAGCTGAGGACGGGATGCAGGCCAGCATCTGTTCCCCCCAAATCTCACAAATAAGAAAATTATGAAAGATTAACCGAAACGCAAATTAAGACGTTAATGTCTCTTTTAAATGCAATTTTTAGGAGACAAATCATTATTAATGAGAGAATGGCGGAGGTTCCGCTTAGCACGGATTCTCCGGATTCTCCCCTCGGCCTCAGTCACTTCATCTGTCAAAGGGCAGCCCCGAGGTCCCCAGTGTCATCAGGGCGATGTGACCAGTGGGCGAAGCGATCTGTGCGGGGGGCGCAGCACAGGGCTGGGCGCTGAATAGACCGTTTGCGGCTATTAGTGAAGCTGTTTCTGCGATCCAGCCACAGGCACCAGCGAAGATCTTGTTAAAGAAAAACATCACAAAAAGTTTCACCAGGATGTATCGTGCATCCACTAGGGTGGCTGTGATCCAAAAAACGAGAAGTGCCGACAAGGATGCCAAACGTCAGGATTACGATGCCACGAGCATGGGAACCTTTTCTCCAGGGCAAAGGTCAGAGCCAGAGTGGCCACACGGTTTGTCATAGGATGACAGGGGGTCCTGTTAGTAATTCCACAGTCCCTGAGACACCCTCCATGAGGACCCCAAGGAAACCCGACATAGATACCCTCATCCAGTGGTTTTCAGCTGGAGTGGGGGTGGGGGGTTCTCCTATGTCCCAGGGGACATTTGGGTCTGGGGAGTTGTCACAACTGGAAGGTGGGTGCTACAGGCATGTAGTGGGAAGAGACCAGGCATGCTGTTAACGTTCCACAATGCACAGCACAGCCCCCCAGGACCGGGCATGACCTGGCCCCAAAAGTCAGCAGTGTCAAGGCTGAGATCTCCCCATCTAGCCAGTCCCTCCACCTGATTCAGAGCAAAGGTGAGACTGGATTTCCAGGCTCCTTTGCACTGTAGGGTGGGGAGAAATTTTAATTTGCTTGTCCTGCTGTTCTGCTCTGGAAAGCCATTCTAACTTGACCAAGAAAGCACTTGGGCTGTTAACTCAGCATTTACTTACAATGGAACTGTAGCCTGCTTAAGACTACTACCTTTTTGTTCAACTTTTGCTTCTTTTAGTGGTGTGTGCTATGTTCCTAAAATGACCTGAATATTATCTAAATACAATCTTTTTTTTTTTTTTAAATACCAAAGAGGTAACAGATTTAAGTACTTTGCATTCTAGGCCCTGGGCTAGGCAGCTATATGAATATCTCTGTGCAGCACACAGAATGTTAACACTTGCTTTGTTCTCTAACACCAGGTCTTTGATAGCATCTGCAGCTCAGCCAAATTATTTTTAACACCTAAGAGGCATTCCATTGTGTGCATATGCCCTGATGGGTCGGCAGCTACCTCTCCCCCTTCAATGGACCTTACGTTATTCCAGTTTTTCCTGCTTTTGCAAAGAGAGATAAAAGGAGCATCCCTTGCACAAAGTGTTTTTGAAGATGAGGTTTCTGGAATTGAAATTGCTGAGTCATGGGGCCTGTGCAGATTTTAAATCTTGTTAAAAATTCTCCTTTAGTGATTGAAGTTTTTTTGTTTTTTGTTTTTTGTTTTTTTTTTTGAGACAGAGTCTCACTTTGTTGCCCAGGCTAGAGTGAGTGCCATGGCGTCAGCCTGGCTCACAGCAACCTCAATCTCCGGGGCTCAGTGATCCTACTGCCTCAGCCTCCCGAGTAACTGGGACTACAGGCATGCGCCACCATGCCCGGCTAATTTTTTGTATATATATTTTTAGTTGGTCAATTAATTTATTTCTATTTTTGGTAGAGACGGGGTCTCGCTCAGGCTGGTTTTGAACTCCTGACCTTGAGCAATCCGCCCGCCTCGGCCTCCCAAAGTGCTAGGATTACAGGCGTGAGCCACCGCGCCCGGCCGTGATTGAAGTTTTAATACCAGAACCATACGTTGCCTTTGTCAAAAATACATAAACATACGTGGGTTAATTTCTTCCTGAAAGTAGGAGCCCTGGAGAAAAAGCCAAGGCATGATTTATGAATTATAATAAATATTAAGAGGAACTATTTCATCAGAGCCAAGAAATCCTACTGAATTGGATGCTGATAACTTTGGGAGGGCCAAGCCCCAAAGTATGGTAATTACAAGAACAAAAACCCTGTTTGCGGGAGACATTTGTGGTCAGGCCCCAGCCAAGCATATCAACCATCCCTGGCGAGGCGGTGCTGGGCAGCTTCTCCTGCTCTGCCTGGCTGTGGCGTGGCAATGGCGAAGGCTCTTCCCCAGCAGTGCGCATGTGCACAGGCAGCCGGGCCCTTGCAGCCGGGTGGCGGTGAGCCCGGTGGGGAGGCCTGGCCTGGTCCTGAGCTCCTGCTGGCTGGGTGCTGGCGAGCTCCAGGCTGTATCTATCTCAGGGAGGGAAAGGTGGCCTAGAACACTCCCCAGGCAGCAGGCTGAGCACTTTCGTGTGAGTCCCAAGCCTCTGCGGAGGACACACTGAGCGCTCCCTACTGCTGGAGGCCCTGCTGCATGCTCACGACTGAGACGGACCTGGGTTGGGCCCTTGTGGGGCTGTTGCTCCAATGGAGGACACAGATTTAATAAAAAACAAATCAAATATGTAGTCACAAAGTCTGGCTCTGTGCTGGGATTTCCAGGCAGAAGCCAGATACGCAGCTTGAACTTGGAGAATTCTGCCTGGTTGGCGCAGCAGCCTTGAGCAAGTCCCCAGCCGCTCCGATCCACTCCTCTGCACTTACAGCGTCACTGTATTGCAACGGTGCCACATAGTTTGTCATCTAAAGAAGGACACTTTCGAGAGTAATAAAAGGACACTATTAATAATGACCCAGAAGCATGGTCTGCCTACTCATGTGGGCACACAGTGTGTACACTCCACCCCCAAGGTAGGAGGTATTATCCTGATTTTACAGATGAAGACGCAGAGACTCGACCCAGAGAACTCACCTGCTCATATTCACCTGTCAAGTAGGTAGAGGAGCCAGGATTTATTTATTTATTTGATTATTGAGACAGGGCTTTGCTCTGTCACCCAGGCTAGAGTGCGCTGTGGCAGTCATAGCTCACTGCAACCTAGGGCTCCTGGGCTCAAGGGATCCTCCTGCCTCAGCCTTCCCAGTACAGGTGGGTGCCACTATGCCTGGCTAATTTTTAGATTTTTGTGTAGAGACAGAGTCTCTCTGTGTTGTTCAAGCTGGTCTTGAACTCCTGGGCTCAAGCAATCCTCCCGCCTCAACCTCCCAAAGTGCCAGGGTTACAGGCACAAGCTACCACACCATGCCTAGGAGCCAGGATTTTTATCCAGGGCTTTTTGAGTCCAAAATCCAAGAGGGGAATTATTAGGCTGTACTGAGATTAAGTTGAAATGCCTACCTTCAGGGTTGGTGTAACTGCCAAAATGAGTCAAGTTGCCTGGCCTGTAGGAGGCGCTCCAAAAAAATGAAAATTATTACTGTAATTAGTGAGGACTAAAACCAAAATAATCCTATGTTAAGCAATACCAGGATCAGGCAAAAGTCAGTTAGCTGCTTGCTCCAAGAAATACCTGCTCTGGAAGATAAGATTATGTATCAGCTTTCACTTCAAAGCCCTTCCAGGGCCCCCCATTCCAAAGCTGTTATGTCAGAAACTCACCAATCCCAGCCAGTTTCCTGCCTTGCAAGACACACTTTAAAATCACCCGGCCAAGGCCCTAAAACCCTAAAAATACCTTTCCCTAATTTCCCTAATTCGTATCTGTTGATGTGGTAGTCTTCCTTACTGCAGGAGGTCTGAAAAGCCTAGTTTTGCTTGATCAACAGGTTTTTCAGGTATAATTAAGCCAATGGAATTAAGGTCCATGGCAGCATTCAAAAATGCTTTTTGTTGTTATTCTACAAAATTGAAATAGCTAAGTGTGGTGGTTCCAATAGCAGCCCCCCAAAAGATGTGGATGTCCAAATTCCTCAACCTGTGGGTGATCAACTCAAGGATCTTGAGGTGGGGAGATTATCCGGGATTATCTGGGTGGGCCACTGTAATCACAGGGTCCGTACAGCAGGGAGACAGGAGGGGCAGATTCAGAGATGTGAGGATTGGGGGGTGGGTTGCAGTGATGGCTCCAAAGACGGAGGAAAGGACCTTGAGCCAAGGGATGCAGCACCCACTAGGAAATGGATTTCCCCCTAAAGCCTCCAGAAGGAACATAATCCTGCCAGCCCCTTTTAAACTTCTGCCTTCCAGAACTGTTAAGAGAATAAATCTGGGTTGTTTTAAATCACTGCATTCGTGGGTGTTTGTTACAGCAGCAATAGGGACGAATACACCAAACATTCAAGAGAGAGAAAGTTATCTGGTGGTTGTCAGTAGAGAGCAGTAGTTAAACCCACAGTCTATGGAGCTAGGTCACCTGGGTTCAGATCCCTCCCCTGCCACTCCCAGGCCAGGTGACATCAGTCCAATTACTAAAGTAACTCTCTGAGCTTTAGTCTTTACATTTACAAAAATGAGGATGATACAAGTTACTGCCCTGTAACATTATAACAAGATCTAATAAGCTCAGTGCAGTGCCTGGCACAGAAGAGTTGCTCAATACACCCCATCATTGAGCTGGGACATGATACTCATTTTCTTAGGGAAGAGCTGGAGTTATTGGAATAACCCGGCTAATCTCAGGGATGCTGCTGCTATATGTCACTGTGTACGTAACTCATCCTTCTGACATTGTATTTCTTAACTCACACAACCAGTTGTATATCCTGCAAAAGTTATTTCCATGGATTCACTGCATCTGCACCAAAGTAGCTATAGATAAGGTATACATGTTTTGCATGAGCATGAAGCAAAGTGCAGGACACAGAGAAGAACTGGGATCCCTTCTTCCCCCTCCTTTCCTCCTCCTCCACCTCCTCCTCCTCCCTCTTCTGCATTGTTCCATGGATTGCGAAAAACACTTAGGACATGGAGAAAGGCAGTAATGGCACTCCAGATAGCAGAGAGAGCAAAACAGTTCATGGGTGAACTTTGCAAGGGGTTTGCAAGCAAAGTTCCAAAGACCTAACAGAAAAAGGGGATTCTGTAAAGTAGGTCCTCTGGGCATGAAAGTTCTCCAGTAAGGTAGCCTGCACCCCTCTCATGCACACACGCACACACGCACGCTCACTGCCCTCCCCACACAGAGAGCCCCGTCCCTAGATGAGACTTCTAAACCTAGAACCTGGGAAAAGGGGCTTCGGGAATTCCTGCGACGGCGAGCACAGCCTTGTGTTCCTGTGTTCCTTTTTCTCCTGAGAAGGGACCAGCATTTTCATCAGATCTTCAGGAGGGTCTGGACCCCCAAGCGTTCTGAGCTTCTCATCTGGGAAGTCCAAAGGAGGCTGACACCTCACGGGCTGACTTCCTCTCTCAGGCCAGTTTCCTCTTAGGCTCCGGCCACGGCCTCTCCTTCATGCTGGGTGTCACCGCGGCTTTCTAGCGTGGCGATCGCTGACCTTCCGAGCACCCACGAGGCAGACACCGCAGTGTGGGCGCCGCACTGCTGGGAGTCCGTGTCCAGCATGTTGCGGGCAGGTGAGAGAAACAGGGTGCTCATTCCCACGGGCTTCCACAGTCGCCAGGAGGTCCCACCCTCTCAGTGAGAACATCGGGACCACCCAGAAGCTTAGGGGAAATGTGCAAACCTCCCCACTGCTGGTCCCCAGGCGGGGCACCCACGCCGGGCTCCGCTCCCTAACCGTGCCGTGACCCCTGACCCGACCTCTGCCTCGGGGACCTGGGGTTGTGTTGTTCCAATGTTGTCTAACATTTTTTTTTTTTTTTTTTAGACAGAGTCTCGCTTTGTTGCCCAGGCTAGAGTGAGTGCCCTGGCGTCAGCCTAGCTCACAGCAACCTCAAACTCCTGGGCTCAAGCGATCCTGCTGCCTCAGCCTCCCAAGTAGCTGGGACTACAGGCATGGGCCACCATGCCCGGCTAATTTTTTCTATATATATTAGTTGGCCAATTAATTTCTTTCTATTTATAGTAGAGACGGGGTCTCGCTCTTGCTCAGGCTGGTTTCGAACTCCTGACCTCGAGCAATCTGCCCGCCTCGGCCTCCCAGAGAGCTAGGATTACAGGCGTGAGCCACCGCCCTCATTTTCATTTTTAACATCATTCTGGAAACAAGATTTTTCTGACAATGACTAAATAATATGGTCTTAGTTCAAAAACAAAAAAGTTCAATAGCCAAGAGGGAGTGAACACCTAAACATGCATGTAGATTTGCAGTGTGATAAAAACTGTCATTTTCTTATCAGTGAAGGAAGAAATAGCTATCCAATACATCACATGAAGTCCCATTAAGAAAAATTTTTTAAAAGCCAAGAGTTAAAACAGGAAAAAGCTCGGATCTGAGCCTTCAGCACGTCCGCCAGCTCCGCAGGTGGGCGGCTGGCACGGCTGAGCCCCCGTGGAAATAACTGGCAGCCCCAGCCCTGGACAGAGCCCAGACTCCGCCTGGGGCTCAGGAAAGGCTCTTCCTTCTTCCTGCTGGGAACTGACCCTTTTGCCCTAACTGGCTGTCTTCCAGAACCGTGATGCCCAAATGCACACGTGCGTCAGAACCACCTGGAGAGGTTTCCTTGTTTCTTTCAAACTATTAAGGGGGTACGAATATTCTCCTTACATGGTTACCTTGTATAATGCTTAAGTCAGGGCTTTCAGTTGCCCCTCACCAAAATAGTGTTCGTTGTATCCAGTAGGTGTTTATCCTGTATCCTCCCACCTGCCCTCCTTCTTGGTTTCCAAAGTGCTCTACATCTCTTTGTGCCCATGTGAACCCATCTGTAGCTCCCACTTGTCAGTGAGGACATGTGGTGATTGTTTTTCCATTCCTGAGACACTTCACTAAAGATAATAGTCTCCAGTTCCATCCAAGTTGCTGCAAAAGACATTATTTCATTCCTTTTTATGGCTGAGTAGTACTCCATGGTATATACACCACATTTTCTTAATCCACTCCTGAATCGATGGGCACTTAAGGTTGATTCCACATCTTTGCAATTGTGAACTGTGCTGCAATAAACATTCAGGTGGGGGTGTCTTTTCTGTGACATGACTATTTTCCTCTGGGAAGACACCCAGTAGTGGGATTGCTGGATCCAATGGTGGGTCTACATTGTAGGCTCAGCTCCTGGAATTTCTGATTCAGTAGGTCTGGGATGAAGCCCAGGACCCTGGTGGCACTGCTGCTGCCACTGTGGGGATCGTACCTTGACAACCGCTGGTTCTAGAATTTAGGATTTGCAGAACTCAGCAATCTGTTGAACTTTCTTATTGGTTCTATTAGTCTATCTGTACATTTTCTTGAATTTCCTACTTAAAAGACATGTTGACTGAGAACAAATATGTTGCTTTTTTTCCTTCCTCATCTTTATAACTTTCTTTCTCTTAGTGCTTTGGCCAGAGCCTCCTACCTTACGCTGAAAAGAAGCAAGGATAGAGGGCACCCTGTCCTGACCTAAAGGCAAAGCTGTCATCACCTCGTGATTAGCAGCATGGTGGCAGGAGAAAAAGGATGTAAGAACAACACAGCAAAACAATAAGTCAAATCCAGGGTGTGGGCCAGTCTATAGGACAAACAACCCAACTTCTCTTAAAAACAATAATAGCATGAGCAAAAGAGGCGGATGTGGGGTGAGGAAGGGAACTATTATTAACATTTTTTTTTAAAAACACAAGAACCAAGGCCAGGCGCGGTGGCTCACGCCTGTAATCCTAGCTCTCTGGGAGGCCGAGGCGGGTGGATTGCTCAAGATCAGGAGTTCAAAACCAGCCTGAGCAAGAGCGAGACCCCGTCTCTACTATAAATAGAAAGAAATTAATTGGCCAACTGATATATATATAAAAAATTAGCCGGGCATGGTGGCGCATGCCTGTAGTCCCAGCTACTTGGGAGGCTGAGGCAGAAGGATCGCTCGAGCCCAGGAGCTTGAGGTTGCTGTGAGCGAGGTTGACGCCACGGCACTCACTCTAGCCTGGACAACAAAGCGAGACTCTGTCTCAAAAAAAATAAAAAAAACACAAGAACCATAAACAAATGCTTTGTGTGTATTGAGTTTGGGTTCTGATTTTGACAAACCAATGAAAAAGACATCTTTGCAATAAATCAGGAAAGTCTGGGTATGTACTGAATATTAAAAGCTTTTAAAGTTATAAATTGACCAGGTGTGGTGGCACACGCCTGTAGTCCTGGCTACTGGGGAGGCTAACACAAGAAGATCACCTGAGCCCAGGAGTTTGAGGTTGCAGTGAGCTAGGCTGATGCCACGGCACTCTAGACTGGACAACAGAGCAAGACCAAAAAAAAAAAGTTATAAATTTTGCCATGTATGATAATGGCATGGATGTTATATAAAATATAAATATCTTTATGAAGTTGAGACTCACACTGAGGTATTTATTGGTGAAATGATAGAATATTTAAGGCTTCCAATAGTTCAGAAAAATAAAGAATGAGATAGATAAAACAAGTTTGGCAAATTTTTATGATTGTCAAAGCTGGGTGATGGGTACATGGAAGTTTATAATCTTTTCTCCTTCTTTGTGTTTAAAATTTCCATAACAATATAAAAAGAATGATGTTTATATTAAGATGTTTGCTAAGATATTTTATTGTTATTATTTTAATCATGAAAGGGCATGGAATTTCATTAAGTGTACTTTCTGTATTTTTTGTGGTTTTTCTCCTTTAACTTGTTAACATGGTTAATTACATTAGATCTTCTAATCTCAAACCACTGCAAATTTCTGGGATAAACCCAAATTCACATACACACACACATACACAGAAACATTCATACTTACAGAAAACTTGCAAGAGTAGTACAAATACTCCCACACACCTTTCATTCAGAGTCTTGCCAAGTGTCCTCATAATCATGAATGTCCTTTGTATCAAAAGAATCCAACCTGGGATCACGCTTTGCACCTGGTTGCCATCTCTCCCTTATCCTTCAATCGGGACCAGTTTCTCCGTCTATCTTTGACTTTCCTGACTTTGGCATCTTTGAAGATTACAGGACAGCTTATTTTGTAGAACGATCCCCGTTTTGGGTCCATCTGATGTTTCCTCATGACCAGACCCAGGTGGCATTTTTGGCTGGAATGTCACAGACGGGCTGCAGGGTCCTTCTCACCCCCAACAGTGCGCACCTGATCTTGACTTGTCCCAGGACAGGTGACGTCAACACTGATCTCTTGATTGAGATGGCATTTGCCTTGTGTCTCTAGAGTAATGTTTTCTCTAACTTGTAACTAGACTCAAGTTCCAAAAGTTATCTTTTTTGTGTAATTAATATTTCAGGGGCAGACAATTTTCCATTCTTATTCCACTTTGACTTACTAATTTTAGCATTACTGATGTTTCTTATCTGAAATGTTACTATATGAGAGCCAAATAGTGATGTTCTAATTCTACCATTCTCTCAGTTATTATTTTGCATTACAGTGTAAGGGTGAGCTTTCTCTCTTCCTCATTTATTTACTCATTCTTTATGTCACTGTGAACTTCTAGATTCCTTTTTTTTTTTTTTTTTTGAGACAGAGTCTCGCTTTATTGCCCAGGCTAGAGTGAGTGCCGTGGCATCAGCCTAGCTCACAGCAACCTCAATTTCCTGGGCTCAAGCAATCCTCCTGCCTCAGCCTCTCAAGTAGCTGGGACTACAGACATGTGCCACCATGCCCAGCTAATTTTTTGTATATATGTTTTTAGTTGGTCAATTAATTTCTATTTTTTTTTTTTTAGTAGAGACGGGGGTCTCACTCTTGCTCAGGCTGGTTTCGAACTCCTGACCTCAAGCAATCTGCCTGCCTCGGCCTCCCAGAGTGCTAGGATTGCAGGTGTGAGCCACCACCCCCGGCCTATTTATTTTTTTTGAGACAAGGTCTGGCTCTATTGCCTCAGCTAGAGTGCAGTGGTGTTATCATAGCTCACTGCAATCTCCAATTCCTGGGCTCAGGCGACCCTCCTGTCTTACCCTCTCAAACTGCTAGGATTACAGGTGTGAGCCACCTTGCCTGGCCTGATTATTTATTTTGAAGTTCAAGTTGTTGTTGAAACCTCACAGTTTCAGCCTAGGTCCAGTTGCTCATTGCACAAAGATCCAACTATTGAGACAAGGATCACCAAGGAAGAAAGGAATTTATAATATTATTGGGAGAAAGGGAGAAACTGCCTTAAATCGGTCCCTCCAACTAACAGGGAGATCAAGGGCTTTTAAAGGAGGGGCCACGTGCCTTGGGGCAGGTCAAGGTGTAACTAACCAGGGGCCCTGTGCAGTGGGAGCAGGTTGTGGGGAATGGTGGCAGGTTGTGGGGGATGGTGAATGTTGGAGACAGGCAGTCAGCCCAGGGGCCTTCCGAATCTCAGCTTTGTCTTGCAGAAAATCCACCATTTCTGGGAAACAACTCAAAACGTCGAGTAGTTAGTTAAGGGAGTGGATTATAAAAAAAAATTAGAGGGCATTGAAATTTGTTCATCGAGGCAGTTACAAAGTTGTCCCCAGATTTGGAAGTGGGAGTGCTTAGCGGCTTCCGTGGCATTTATATGATGAGTCTTTGAGTGCTTCCTAGTTTCCTAGATCCAAGTTCCAGGATCATTTTGTTCTTTTCCTGCCCAGCCCCAGAACCATCCAGTTCTCCATGGAAGCCTGGTTTCCTTTAGTGGAAGATGGTATTTATTTTTATTTATTTATTTACAGCAGGGTCTTGCTCTGTTCACTGGGCTGAAGTGCAGTTGTGTCATCATAGCCAGCGTGCCTGGCTAATTTTTCTATTTTTTTTTTTTTTGTAGAG